TACTACTCAGCAATAAAAAAGGATAAAATAGTCCCATTCACAACAACACGGATGGACCTTGAGGGTATTATGTTAAGCAAAATAAGCCAGATAGAGAAAGACAATCTCTGTATGACTCCACTCATATGTGGAAGATAAACAAACATGTGGACAAAGAGAACAGATTAGTGGTTACCAGAGGAAAGGGGGGTTGGGGGTGGACACAAAGGGTAAAGTGGTGCACCTACAATATGACCGGCAAATAAGAGTGTACAACTGAAATCTCACAAGGTTGTAAACTATCATACCCTCAATAAAAAATTCCCCACTAATATCCTCAAGAAAATAAATGAATGGATGAATAAACAGAGAGAGAGAGAGAGAAGAGAGTGGATGCTATACAATACATCTACCTCCTCCTCTACGTGAAAGTTCTTCAATCAAGTAAAATCAACTGAGTTTTAACTCTGCAGGCTATGCATGCCCAAGTCCTTCCACATTTTTCAATGTCACGGATTTAGTGCTGCCATTCTCCGTATGAGGGAGAGGAGCGGGATAGTCCAGGTGTGATCTGAGCAGTGTGAAATAGGAATTATTGTTGCTTCCTTTGTTTTGTACACGAACTCCCAGTAACGTAGCCTAGGACTGGATTAAGTATTTGGCAGGTACATCCTCATGTTGACTCATGCGAAACTTACCCTCAACTAAAACCATCAGGCAAATTTCTCATACATTTGGTATTAAGTCAAACCTTCCACATCCTGTGTTTGTATGGTTCGTTTTTGGATTTAAAAGCAAGAGTTTACATTTATTCCTATTAAGTTCATTTAAGTTTGATTCAGCCCATTTTTCCAGATGATTCTGGCATTGGACACATTATCAACCCCTGCAGCTTCTTGGCACTTACAATCTGATCAACAGGCACCAACATTGATGCCAATGCTCAGTAGGCAAGCGATAAAAATAAATTTTTGAGAAAAACTTTTTTCTTGCAAGCTTATATGCATGGAATATTCATTAGCAATCTTTGCGTACAGTTTCTCAAAGAGCTAATAATCCTTCTGGGGTTATGTCATCTGGAGTATATTTCTCTGTGTTATCTACAGGGTGTCTCGAGACAATGCAATTCTAATGTCAAGGAGAGCACTCTTACTCTTCGTGACATCCAGGGGTTAGAACAAGGGTTTTCAACCTCCACACTCTTGACAGTTTGAGTCGAATAACTCACTGTTGGGGACAGGGACTGTCTTGTGCACTGGAGGATGTATGGCACCATTCCTGGCCTCTCCCCAGCACATGGTAGTGGCATCTCCTTCCCCACCTACCCTGGAAATTGCGACAATCAATAAATGTCTCCAGATATAGTCAAATGTTCTTTTGGGGGCAAGATTGCCCTTCCCCAGCTAAGAACCACTGTTCTAGACTCCACGTTCCTCCAATCTACTCTTGTAACTCAACCTACCTGTGATGGCCATTTCGACCTTTTCATCACTATAGTTATTAATAAGCTATTAATAGGGCACCAAAACAGTTCCATATAAGAAATTAGATATGTGGATAAATTAAGACGAGATATGGAAAGCAGAAGAAAAATAATGGGAGGAATGGAGAGGGATGATCTAATCCTAAAATTTAGAGCTGAGGTTACATTAACCTTTGGGTAAAACAGCTACAAGGAAATTGAACCTTCAAACAGGAATTATATGATTTAAAAGGTAATGTGTAAGGACTTTTGTACCTGGATGCTCATCCAGGTATTACTGGGAACAATGAACAACGGAAATAGACTATACGTTTGACAACAGGAAATAAATGTTATGGCATATTGATCTCATACAAAATTAGGCAGTCCTCAAAATGATGTATTTTCAAAACATTAATGACATGGGGAAATGCTCACAACACAATGCTGTGAAAAAAGTAAGCTATTGTATATACAGTATGAATATCAAGTTTTCGAAGGAAATATATACATAGTAAAAGGATCATAAAGGTATTAATGGTGTTATGGAATTATGTTGGAACTATGCATGATTTTAACAGTCTTCTTCATACTTTCTTATGTTTCCAAAATTTTCTTAATGAACTTACTGTTTTTGTAAGTTCTATGTGCATGAGATGGGGAGAGTGTGGGGGAAAAGGATCCATTTTCCCTCAGGTGAGTGAGCAGTAGCAGAGATTTCTCTTCTATTTGCAAAACATTGTGCCAGTAAGGTAGGACACTTCAGAGAGGGTGCATGAGAAAGATGACAATATTTTTAGACTAGGTTATTCAATCTGCTTGGGGAAAAAAATCTATCATTTTTCATAGAATAAGAATAGTTGACTCTAATGTTCCAGCCAAATCCTGTTCTTCCAAGGCTGTGGTTCTCAGAGTTTAGAATTGCTGAAAAAGCCCGGTGGGCTTACCTATGAAACATGGATTCCTGGGCTCCAACCCCCAAATTCTGATTCTGCAAATCTGGCGTGGGACTCAGGAGTCTTCATTTTTAACACACTCCCAAGTGATTCATTCTGATGCAGGTGGTCCATGGACCACACTTTCACTGTGTGGATTTGGATGAGTATTTTTTTTTTTTGGCCTTTATTTTTGATCATTTCTTCCTGGTTATGCACTAAATAGAGCTGGTATGGACTCACAGGGGTGTGTTGATAAACTGGCTCTTTGAAAGAAACAAATCCAACTTATCACATTTGCCAGTTTCTGAGGCGTAAATAATCCCACCATGATCAATTTCAAACTACCAGTAGTTTAACGATCAGCTCACGAAATTCTTCAAAGCTTCATATTTGTCTCTCACCAGCTGGTACAAGCTGGCTTCAGCCCTCTACAGTATACATTTTATTGAAGTGCTTTCCAATCTTTGAAAAACGGATACGTTAATGACAACCTAGCATATCTATGACAGCTAGGATGAAACGAGTAAGCAATAGGAAGGCCTGAATCATCTTAAGGTAACAAATTCCAAATGTATTACAAAAAAAGGACAACTTTGTGAACTTTTACGTGCTATTTCTTATTTTATTCTATTTTTTTCCATGGCCGTGCCATGAAGAGTGATATACTCGCTGAGTTCTTTAAGAGTTGTGAATTGGTTTCCCATGGATGATGGAGAGCCAAGAAACGGGACCCTGGGGTTGGGAGAAATGCCAAATGTTCAGCCTCCACCTTCATCTTCCCTGGCCCTCAGCCCCTGAGCTGTTGAAATGCCCTTGGTCATTAATCCTACAGCACCCAACCATAAAATCGACGACTCCCGCTTCTTCCCCTCGCACACGACTGAGAAAATGTTGTCTCTAGGAAACCCGTATCAGATGTGTTTTACGTGTTCATGTGTGAGAAGTGACCTAAATGGAGGCTAACAGTACAGTTCTTTCAATATTTTGACCAGACGTATTTTAAGAAAATTGGACCTGAAGCCTACACAGCCAGCGGAGGCGAATTTACAGCCCTGCTTTTAAGGACAAAACTCCCTCAGGCACCTGCTTCCTAAAGGCAAAACCAGAAAGGAAATGAACTCCTGCTCAAAGACAACCCACCTTATTTTATGAGTTATCAATTCTAGCTGGCACACCATTCCCTAGCTACTAAGATGCCCCCCTTCCCCCAATCCTAGGCAAGTATTGAGCTACAAAAAATGTGAAGTCTGCGTTCTTGCAAACAGCTCTGTTTCCTGAAGATAAGGCAAGGATGTGGAGCCTCAGTAAGAGAAGTCAGGGGAGCAGCAAGGATTGATGGTGTGGACGCGCCACGTGAGGTCTTTGTCAATACGTGCACTAAGATCGTAGCCCGAGTTCCATCTTATGTTATGGGATTCCTGAATCTTGGGCTATGACGGAGGATTCACCATTCCCGCCTTGGGGCAGCTCCATCAGGTGCACAGGCAGCAACAGTGGAGAGCACCCGATTTCCTTGGAACAGCTCCACCAACCCTGGGACCGAGCTTGTCAACCTCTCAGAAATGAGAACGGACTAAATAGGCTTTTTCCCTCACTATTGATAAAGTCAGCCTTCTCAACCGGAATAGATCACAAAATAGGGGTCAAAGGTTAACGGTAGATGCGCAGCCTGCTCTGTCCTAGAAATCACCAAGAATAAGCATGATTTTCTTAGCACACATACCAAAGTATTAAAACACGGGCGAAAACTGACTCTGTGAAAGCTACAAGAACTATTGTTCCTAATAAGCAAGGGAAACTGGACAATCTGACATCATACATAATGAAGTCAGAATGGAATCCTTAAAACTATGTGCAGGCTTTGCCATAATCTCAGTCTTTCCCCAAGCTTCAAGTAGTCGTGAAGGCGAAGGATTTCCAGCAGAAATATGAATATTCAATTACATGTTTCAAAATCAGACATTTACACATCTACTTGGGATAAGTGCCAGAGTTAACATCAAAGAGATGTGAAGCACCTCTTGTCCAAACGGAACATTAAGCTCCTCAAACAGGAGAATCCAGCCCTTGCAAACCATCATCATTTCAGTAAGTGAAACCGGCCCTTTAACAGACGGGCGACGTGCTCCGCAACGTGCTGATAGCCTAATAAAAGACACTGGCTTTTTAAAAATGAAGGACATGTGCTTCTCACATTACAGTACCCAAATGGACTTAGCAGAATAAAATTAAGAAGGCACACAACAGCTTGACAAAAATTAGGAACAGACTATGGAAATTTGATCATTTTAAACATCAATATCAAAATGACCCTTTTACTTAAAAAAAAAAGACTCATTGTTTAAACCATAAGGAAATATGCAGCGACATTGTCAAAACCAGGAGTAGCATATTTTGGAATTATAAGGACTGCTAAAACAAAAACATGAAGTTAAATTTCTTCTCAAAATATAATAAAAATTCTCCAGAAAGGAAGGTTCCTTTTATATCAGGTACCTTTCCTTTCACATAAGTCAACCTCTACGCTTCTTAAAATAACATTTCCCCAGTTGGAGGGTTCAGTAACCAAATTAAACAGAGCCCCTGGCTCAGCTCGGCCGGGCCCCAGGGCTCCCGCTCACCTCGCGCGCTCCTCCCTCATTGTGTCCAGCTCCTCGTCTCTCAGGCCACCGTGCTTGCGCTGTGGAGGGTTTTTCTGCTCAGCCTTCCCGCCCTTATCCTCTTTCTTCTTACCAAATCTAGTGAAACATGAAGGAGAAGATAGTTCTTAACAATAATCATGTTCTTTTTGTGGTAAATTTAAGATATTTATGAGATGAACTCATTAAACCGTAATTCCTGATTCCAAGTAATACAAGAGTATTTTGCATAAAACAGAAGTAAAATAAGAAATTGAAAGCAGAAAAATAATACAGCTCCTGGATTCCCCTCCTTTTCCTCCCTTCCTGCCTTCTTTCCACTCAGGTGTTGATTGTGCAGCATGGACAAAATCATGTCACTAAAGAATAAAAATTCCACACCATTAATTCAGTGGAGATGATAGAACGGAAAGGTTATCATTAATACATAACTAGAAACTCACTCGCATCCTATGCAGGCCTCCAGATGGCCTTGACATCAAGGCTAGACACATGGGATTCTATCGTGATGGTGCCGCAAGGGACCCCACCCGACACCTGGTTCAAGACTCTCATTTTACAAATGAGGAACCCAAGGCTCTGAGAGGCCTTGGGCCTTGACCAAGACCACCCAATAAGCTCAAGGCAGGGCTGGGATGGAACTTGGGTCACTTCTACACTGCACTCTCCTTCATGCCACATCCCCTCTCTCCTGTAGCCCCGCTGCCTCAGTCAGCCCAGGTCAATGCACTCCAGCACTCCTCAGTGAAGGCATATTTGTGGTTAACTGAGTACAGGGGCAATTATGATACGTTACTCTTTTTCCTGCAGCTTTATTGAGATATAATTGACATGTAACATTGTGCAGGTTTAAGGTGTACAGCATGTTGATTTGATACATTTATAAGTTGCAAAATGATTACCACCATAGTGTTCGCTACCATCTCCATCCCATTACATAGTTACTATTTCTTTTTTGTGGTGAGAACATTTAGGATATATTCTCTTAGCAACATTCAGGTATATGATACAGTATCATTAGCTATAATCACCATGCTGTACATCAGGTCCTCAAACTTGTTAATCTTATAACTGGAAGTTTGTACCATTTGACCAATATCTCCCCATTTTTCCCATTCCCCAACCCCCAGTAACCACCACTCTACTCTCTGTTTCTCTGACTCTGTCTGTTTTAGATTCCACATATAAGTGAGATCATACAGTATTTGTCTTTCTCTGTCTCACTTATCTCACTTAGCATAATGCCCTCAAGGTCCATCCAAGCTGTTGCAAATGGCAGGATTTCTTTTTTCTCATGGCTGAATAATATTCCATTGTGTACATATGTGTGTGTGTGTGTATACATGCATAAACACCCCCCACCCCACCCCCGCACCGACATCTCCTTTATCCATTCATCTGTTGATGGACACTTAGGGTGTTTCCATATTTGGGCTAGCGTGAGTAATGCTGCAATGACCACAGGAGTGCAGATATCTCTGTGACATCCTGATTTCAACTCCCTTGGAAATATACCCAGAAGTGGGATTGCCGGGTCATTTTAAATTCTTCGAGGAACCTCCATATTGTTTCCATAGTGGCTGCATCAATTTGCATTCCTACCAAGAGTGCATGAGGGTTTTCTGCAATTATGACACTTTCAGAGAACATTGTGTTTCCTTGACACTTTTAGAAAAATAAAATTGCACATTTGAAATGAAAAAAAAGCTGCAATTAAATTGTTATTGGATACTTTCTTACAAAGTCAGACATTTTTCCCAATAGATATTTTCTTCAGAAGCAATCTCCCATGCTCTTGGTATCAACACACAGGAAATAAGAAAATGACTTCATGCTCTGCTAATAACTGGGAAAAAAGTCATTCAGTTATGCCTGTTCTTCAGTTAAGGTAAAGATTCTTGTCAAATCTATGGAAATACCATTTATCCCTTTTTTCTTATTAAATAGCTGCAAATTTTACTTCTCTGTGTGTGTTTATCCATATCCTTAACTTGCTCATCCTATCTGTGTATCTATGTATCCATCCATTCATCCATCTATCCAACCTGGGGACATTTTAAAAATTATATATGCTCGAGGAGACTGCCCCCTCCCCCAACAGCCCTCACCTCTCCTCCAACCTCCCAACACAGTGAGTCAGAATCTCCTCACATGAGGACCTCGCTTATAAACTTCTAAGAACCTCCTGTCTTCTTCAGAATTTCCTAAAAATGGGTACATATTTGTTTTTTTCTGGATTGTGTTTTAATCCAAAGCAGAGGCTGTGAGTCAAGTGGCAGCTCTGAGACTCACACGTAGAAGACGTCACTGCTAATATCCATATTTCTGTTATCAGAGTCTGGACTGCATCCCGCTTTCCTCAGAAGCCTCTCTCCATCTTGACTCTTCTGCACATTTTTCAATTTATGATTTCAATTAGCAAATCCTCTTCCACGAACTTTCTCCCTCCCTACTGCCGTCTCTCCATCTGCCTCCGCTCCTACTACAATTCTTTTGCTGTATCCAGGGCAGTTTCGGGATTTTGATCTATTATTTACCAGCTTTAACTCCATCATCCCCAGCTTTTCTTTCCTTTTTTTTTTTTGTCTCTTTCTCTCTTTGCTGCCCCCCTTTTTGAATCTATTCCTCTATCTCACTGAAGAAATGACCTGACAAAATAGAAAGACATCCAGTTTCAAATACGACTCAGATTTGTTGATATATTCAAGATCTCTCTCTCCCCTACAAAGCAGGAGACGTCTAAATCATGTGTGTTTCCCCAAACACACTCTTTAGCTTTTCAGACCCATGCAGGAGAGTCTTAGGGATCAACACGATTACCCTAAATTCCTTAAGTTAATACCTTAGCACATCACTTAGAGAAATAATTTTCCCCCAAAATGTCATCAACTATAGGAATATTTGGGAAAAAAAATTGTGAGGAGTGAGGGTAGAATAATGCTTCAGGAAGCTGATGAAGCAAAAACGTTGCCAAAAACTCCATAGATATCAGGCTTGTTTTTTTTCCACGTTCCAAATATTTTCTTCTACATTTGGAGGTGCTGGATTTTCTGAGATGAAAGTAGTCTTGTTTTTGAAGAGTGAAACCAACCTATACCCAAGTCTGCCTTGATCTTTATCACCACAACCCATATATTGTTTCTCCTTCCTGCCGCTAAAACACCCCCCGTGTCCGGCAGCTCCAGAAGAGCTTGCTGACTGTGCTCCCATCACAGTGGAACACGTTTGATAAAGAAAAGGTTAGTTGTAAGTAAATTCTGCAAGGCACCGTCTTCTTAGCAAGAACCATCAATAATAGTCAAATTAACCAATTCCACAAATATTACAAATGTTTTGATTTAAAGTTCATATTCATTTATTAAAGTTTCCAATAAGAAGCAGAGAAATTGCTGTGAAATTTATTTCATTAGACAGAGAGAACAGTCACAAATTACCTTATTTGTAAAGTTTTGGTAGGTTCAAGAACAAAATTATAAAACAATAATCTTCAAAAGGACTCCCACATTGTTAAGATGAGGAAATTGAGACCCAGAGAAGTTAATTGCATTTTATTTATTAAGACACTGAAGTCTTTTTTCCCGTTTTATAATCAGACAACTTAATTATCAGTGATAGTGGGTGGGTGGGTGGGGAGGGGGTTGAGAGAAAAGCATCAATTTGGTGAATTTTCCAAGCCTTTCTTCTCCTTTCCACAGTGGCCTCTTTGGGGGGCATTTCACAGCCATTCTCACTTTCACTGACATACAAAGAGGAGCAGGAGAGGTCCAGATACACTGATCCATCTCCCCATTAGCTATTTTTGTGAGAAAAGCCATACAGACCCCAAATGGCTGAAATTACTGCTTTGCACTCTAGGGTCTCAAGTATCCACTGCATACCAGGCCTCCCATTATCTATTACCCAGGAAACCTGAGAGTCGGCCATTCTGGGCTAGGTGCCTAAGGAAATTGCTTATAGGTCAGCCTTGCTTTATATAAAGGATGTTTTCCTGAGGAATTCTGTGCAAACATATGGTTCTAATCAATAAAATCTTACTTTCCATGTACCTGGGACGCCTGTTTAAAGAATCTTATGATGGATCTTTTTGTAAAGTGGAAAAATCACCTTTCAACACTCTCTTTATGTAAATTTAGATTTTCATGAATTATAAGTTTGCTTAAAACACCTGTCCCTGTTCATTTGTATAGAGAGGTTACACGAAACAGCTTCACGGAGAATTAGCTGGCTCGCTTGCTTTCTTCTTTCATTCATGCACTTGTTTTAAAAATACTTATTAGGCATCTATTCTGTGTCAGACATGGCCGTAAGCACTTGGTGTAGCTTAATAATATATTGGGATACAAAGCCAGACACCACCCTCATGGAATTACATTCTCATAGAGAAGATAGTCACCAAAGAAGAACAAGTATGTAATCATAAGTTGTGAAAATGCTATGGAGGGTGTTAGGAGAGACAATAATAGGAAATTGATGGGTTGAAGAAGCCACCAACGAAGAAATGACATTGAAACTGAGACTGTAAGGGTGGGAGGCAGGAGCCAAGCCTCGTGGGTGGAGGAAAGAGCACATGCCGAGGACAGGAGATGGGAAAGGCAGGTGCGTTCCAAGCAGTGAAAGAAGGCCCAGTAGGTCAAGCAAGGAGAGTGGAGGAGCCACTTGCACAAGATTTGGACGGAAAGGAGGGCACACACCACGCAGAGCAGGTCTGAGAGAAGCTGATAGTTTGGTGTAAGAGAGAGGGTAGGTCATTTCTTTGTCATTCAAGGAACAGAAAAGTTAGATATGATTTAAAGAATTGGTAGAGGAGAAACAGAGGAGTAACCAAGTCATTTTAAGTGAGGTGATACAATGTGCTGTACGTGTTAATATAAAACCATCCTCGTTGCTGAAGTAAAAAGCAGCCGGAAAAAGCGGCAAAGCTGATGGGCACTTTGCCAGGAGGGTGGGTGAAAGATGGTGGCTCGGATGACTGGTGGCCACTGAGAAGAGAAGACAGTGATTTGGACATGGTGGGTCAGTGGAGAGGCATCACAAGTTCACTTTGAAACATGGCTATTTTAGGATGCCTTTGGGAAGTGCAGGTGCATGGGCCGAGGACC